GAAAATATTGGCATCAATTCAATTTGCATACCAAATATTGATTCTTACTGACCTCCCGTTGAAAAGTACCTTACCACTACCGTCCAGATGGGTTTTGAGAAGTCACCATACCTAAAAGGATGTATCAGTAGTCTAGGCGCTACTTCTAATGACAATTATTGATCAGATACAGGAAATGTTCTCAATAGGACTCCAGTACAACTTAGAATCATTCTAATGCAGCATCTTAGGCAGCCATTGCTAAGTTATTGTAGTTAACATCAGAGTTCAAATTCGACAAACAGATACTGAAATAAAATAAGCTACTATAAAGGCATTCATATTTTAAGGGGTAATAAATGGACGCTATGTCTCTTAGAGTAATCAACAAACCATTGGACAATCTCTGGGGATCCTTCATAAGTATTATGTGCTCATAACACGAAGAAAAATACTATTTTACTTAATACAGCTATTCAACATTAGCACAGCTTGTAAAATTGTCCTCTAATGGTAAAAAGTAACACTTAAACTATAGTATCTAAAAGTTGGAGCAAAAGAGTCTTAAGTATAGCACTTATCATTATTTTACCCCTGAAAATATTAATTTGTTTGTTTGAGACAGGATCTCCCAGGATCTCACTGTATATTTCAGGCTGGCCCTGAACTCACTATGTAACCCAGGCTGGCCTAGAACTCACACAGTCCTTTGCCTCAGCATTCCAACTGCTGGGATTATAGGCATGCACCACCGTGGCTGGCTAGTAATATATTTCTTATAAGGAGTTGTTCCCTGTAAGTCTCAGTCATATTTAATGTATTCTACTTAAGCAGCTAAAGAGAGCCATTTTTTATCTCAAGGTGTTGTATGTCACAAGCTTATGTGTCTATGGTTTTAAAATTTTGCATTCAAATGCTCCATTTTGATAAATAGTCCTGTACATAGAAGGCAATGACGTTAACTTCATTGATTTTGTTTGTAGGTTGACTGCAGTGTGTTCAATGACCCCAAGTTCTTCTGCACTCGAGAATCAAACCCACACTGTGGTTCTGATGGCAAGACATATGGCAATAAATGTGCCCTCTGTAAGGCTATGGCGTAAGTATACAAATCACTAAGCCTGTCCCTGCGCAAGCCAGGCACTTCTCACATAAGGCTGAGATCATTTCATGGAGGTGCTAGAAACTTCCACTCATTCTTTCCATTAGATACTGAATAAATAGACTCAAGGGAAATGGACTGAAATAAATGGGTTAGAAGCAAAACGATACAAAAAAAAAAACCTGAAAAATTATGTGAAAGCATAACCTCAATAGCTTTTATTTTGTTATTAATTTTGATTTGTTTTAGGAAAGTTCTTCAAATGTAGATCTCACACACCACAATAACTCATTATCATTAATAAGTTTGATACTTTTCCCACTTTAGTCTTCATTTAAAATGCCAATATTAATAGCAGTATCCAGTGAATGCAATGCTGTAGAACATATGTGACTAATTCATATCAAACTCTCTTTCCTCAGGGAAAGCTTAGTGGAGAGGGAGGAGATCTGAACTAGCAAACACATTTTACTCCAAGGGTCTGCATGTGCAGTTCCCTTTCAAAGTGTGATTCACTTTCTTACGTCTTCTGCCAGCAGGGCAGAACTGTGACATTGCAGTCTCTTTGGCATTCTTTCTCCTGCAATTTCTGCCTTTCCCACTTGCATATATATTTAATATTAGAGTATAAGCAATTAGTACTGCAGGGTCTAAGGCTTAACAAAACTCAGATTTACTTGAGGTTCATGCTTTCCACAGTTAGGCCAGATGTTACCTCTGAGTCTATTAAATTAATGCCAGATGAATAGTATATATGAGTATCTATAGAATCAAATGATTAGATAGACCATGCCATAGTTAAGCCCATTTATATCACACAGTATTTCAACTGAGTACATATTTATTTTTCTTTTCTTAATAGGAAAAGCGATGGGAAGATCAGCCTAAAGCATCTTGGAAAATGCTGACTCTAGCAGCCAGTGTGTCCCGCTGGCCACCAGCTCGCACCTTATTCTCCCTTCTGCTTTACTTGTGTCTGGCAAATCCCTTGAGTTTATAAAGACACAGCTTTTACACTGAGTTCTAGGAAATTCACTGTATGCCTAGCTCCCTTGGTTTGTTTGTCAATAAAGTAAATTCTGCAGAAGAATTGATTGTGAGTTGAAGATCCAGATATGCACATGCAATGTGGAATAATTGATCTGGGATACTTTGGGATCCAAACACTTGTCTTCTGATCTAAATCAACCATCAACCAGTATGAAAAATGGATCTTTACCTCTCATATACCTCAGACCTCCATGAGAATAAGGAGGATAGTAACACTCGATCCCACGTTATTCTTAATGTTACTTGGAAACACCTATTATTTAAGTATTCTACCACATAGTATTGGTTCTTCCTTAGTTCAGGAAAAGATAAATTTTTATTTTCTATGATCTATAGTTTTGTCAGCTCTCAATAGTAGATTTTGAACATGCAATCTTTAAATATTTCATATTTGGCATATCAACGATATTATAGGCTCTCCCAGTTGAAAGAAGCGAACAAATATTGAGTTGATACAAAATCTTTAAAAGAATATACATTTAGAGGCTGGTGAGATAGCTCAGCAGACTAAAGCACCTGCTTAGGCAAGCTTAGGCAAGCACAGGGACCGATATTCGATCCCCAGCACCA